CCCCACCATAGATGATCTCACCATCTCGAATCCCAATAAGAAGAGCTAAACCACCCAAAACAAGGGAAAATTATTATGTCCGGTGTCTGGATTCATCCGGACACCAATTCAAATACGCCACATCACTCAGATACACCTGGGGCCAATGTGTTCGGGTGACGTGGCGCATTTGAATTGGTGACCGGACGGTCCAGTAACAAGACCTGTACATTCTTATCCCTACTACTACTTCCCAGAGTTCCAACAAGGAGCACAAAAATTAAGCGCCTTCGAGGAAACCTTCCAGGCATCATTCATATTCTAGCTTTCTAGGGGTGCTACAGTACGCCATTATTACAGGTTCTTTAAAGAGTAGGGAATTTTTTTTAAAAAAAAGCTATTAGGAGGAACAACAAAATCATCCAAGAGTTTATCCAGCTTGAATGCGGTAACCATCCGATGAGAAGGCAGAGAACCTACTGCATTGACAAGGAAATAAAAAAATCATGACTTGCTGTACTCAGAACTATCCAGCAGATGGCATGGATCGCTTAGCCAATTCCAGTAAAAGCTTTCGTTGATGTTCATCAGTATGGGGAAGACTAGCTCGCAACAATTCAACTGGCATCTCCTTGCGAATTGCAAGGGTTGCCTCTGATCCAGTCATGGAAGAATCCTGTGAGTTCAAGAGTGGTAATGACTGCGCTATACTTTCATACTTGCTCAAGCAATACTTCAAGAGAAGACCGAAGAAAGCATTGAACGATTCCTGCCACAGAGCTCGACTATGAGTGCTATAGGTGCTTGTACCATGATGATCCTTCAAGAGTTCTGTAGCTCTCTCAACTACAGACCTTATAACCATCGAGGCTCCATCACCAGCTGCGCTTCCAAGTGGACGGAGAGGAGGTTGTTCTGAAGAACAGACAACAGCAGCTAAACATGCACTAAGTGTGCTCAAATCCATTCCAGAAACACAAACAGATACGGTTCTAGCAAGAGTCGATGTGGTTTCAGCTGCCCCAGCGTCAGAGGACAAACCACCAAATAAATACCTGAGGTGACGAAAAATGGCCATGCAAACAATCCGAGTAAGCTCACTGCCAGGATAAAGCAGCAGAAGATAGCGTGACAAAAGCTTACGACCCTTTGGGAGAGAGACTATGTGGAGAAAGACAAAATCATCTTTGGGAGCTATTCCAACAGACTGGCCAGCTTTACTTGGATCAAGCGGATCAACTAGCTGAAGAGATGCTGCAAGCCCTTCCAGGAGAGCCTCCCGTCTCCTTTTTAGCTGGGAGTCTCCATCATGCGGTGGATTGAACTGCAGGAACCGATCAATATCATCTACATCAAGAAGAAGGCAAAGACCATCCTCAATGGTGATTCTAGCAGCCAACATTGGCTCTTGCTCAAGAGGTTTCACAGAACATTTCTGCTCGGAGCTGCTTCCTGCAGCAGCTGTAGATGGTGAGTCCACATCCAGCAGCGGACGAGGCCGGTGAATTGAAGAGAAGGGAATCCTCCCAAGAGCATCCACCTGAAGATAAGCATGTGGCTCACTGTTAGCTCGGGATCTTGAAGGCAACTCCCTAATGGAATTTGGACAGAAGTGACGCCTCAACTTTGATCCAGAGCTTCTCTTTGCTAGACAGGCTTGATGATAATAATCATCAGAGTAGGGATCACTACTATGTGTTGCGGCATGCTGAACTCTCAGAATGCTTTCAATCTCTTCAGATGTCATGTGCTTGGATCGGAATTGAGGCCATGCGTTGCTCCTTTGGTTCCCTATATCCAAAGGTTGATTAGAAAATCGTACGTTTTGCCTTCCCCTTTGCCCCATTATCAATCCTTGTTCTCTCAACTCAGCCATTCCAAGCATTGTTTCACGCATGTGGGGTGAAGGATGTGAGCCAAATAGTTGAGGGGATAATTGTGGGTAATGTGATAGAGAAGGCTGGACATTCTGAAATCTAGGTTGCTGCGATGTCATTAGGCCATTTGGATGAGATAAATTCTGCTGAAATAAACCAGGAAATAGATTATTGCGGTCACCAGAAATTATACTAGATTGTCTCATAAAATTGTTTTCTTCCTGATTACTAATAGACAAGCCTGGAGAGACAAATTGAGTGATGCTTCCACCATAGTTCATCCCATGATACATATCAGGTAGAGGTTGAGGACCAGAGAAAGGGAAGACATTCTGTGCAGAGAAAGGTGGCTGGATTCCAGTACTTTGTGTTAAAATGTCCATATCGAGAATTCGGGAACCCTGAGATAATTCACCAGGTGGAGGGTAGGAAGTAAAAGGTAACTTGGGAAGGGGAACTTGATCAATCGAATTTAGCCGTGGTAACTGTTCACCAGATAGAGGGAACACTTTCTGCTGTGGTTGCTGTTCGTAAGGGAATGATGTCGTTCTGTACAACGGTTTGGATTCTGCATGGCGAGAAGGAGAGGGATATGGATGTGACCACCACCGTTTACCATCCTGGACATTATCAGCATCTAAAACATTCTGATCTGGCCAGCTGGACAGGCCCAAATCCCTAACCCTATCTGTAGCAGCAGAACCTGAAAGTTTAGGCAGAAAAATTAAGATTATATTAGAGAAATCCACCAAATACACAAGAAGAAAATAAAATAATGATTTTTTTTCCTGGAATCAAGCAAGATAGTGATAAATATAATGATGGAATCTCAGATAAAAACTAAGCCCAACTCAATTTTAATTAGGCAATATTAACATGTAACAAGAAATATCAAATTGAATAGTTCTGAGATTTTTGTTTGAATCTGGGTATTTAAAAAATATTTTACACCTGATTTAAAAGAAAACATCAAGCATCCCTTTCTTAAAAACATCTAATATGGAAGGAAATTTTGACTTTATTTGTCTCATAATACATGTAATTGATCAAATATTTTCATTATTATTCTTCTTGAAAAATGAGCCCAAAACTTCTTTCGGGACGAAATGCCAAGAGAACCCATTTTGATAAGAATCCTTGAGCAGATGGATGAGAAAGGTCATAAATGTTGGATCGACCCACTCATGGCCCTTAGATTTCTATCCATGTCTCTTCTTCCCATTCAAGTCATCGTCCCCACTTAGATATTTTTTTTCTTTGTAAATAATTTTGATTTAATTTCATTATAAGCCTTTCGAAGAAGACTATAACAAGCAATAAAATTTAAAATAACTTTTTTTTTACTTTTATACTTTTCAACATGATATCAAAATGAGGTTAGGAT